ACTCTTCTTTTGCTTCTGTCTTTCACTTCTTCCAACGGACCCTGCTTTGTGGTTTCAGTTCTACAGATACTAATTCTTTCCACTACTGCGCAGCTCTCCAGCTGGCTGGACAAACCACTTTAAGGCAACTTTCCCACCACTCTCTCAGCACAGGTGAGAGAGTGCAGAAAACCCCTCAAACAACAACAACAACAAAAAAAACCACTGTGAAATTTGCACAGGTAGGTCCTAAGCATGATTTATTTTTTTTTACGCTTAGAGACATCCAATCCTAGATTGGTCTTCTAGAGTTAAATATAAAGAGGAAAAAGTATTTTGGATTTTACCATACATCGGAAGACATGAAAACCACAAGTAATGACTGTATGTGGCAATTGCCAGCGCATATAGGAAGCTGCAATATTCTGTATTACAGCGGCTTTCAAAACGCTGCCTAGTTAATTTGGCTTTTCTACACAAGAAATTTGTTGTTTCTAGTAGGAGAAATGCAACTCTCTGCCTAATTTCAGGGATCTTGGCAACCTCTTGCTAAGGTAAGGGCTCTTTGAACCTCTTGCTAAGGTAAGGGCTCTTTGAACCTCTTGCTAAGGTAAGGGCTAAGATGATACGGATAAGTCTTCCAGAGGGCATCCAAAAGGAAGGTAAGATTGCCTGAGTGGAAACTAAACTAGTTATCTAGTATCATGGGATATCAGACAACTAGTTTAGTTGTCTAGTATCTTGTAGCATCACGAGAAGTGATACTTGGTAAGGCCACACTTGGAATATTGCATCCAGTTTTGGTCAGCATATTATAAAGAACAAGTTGAAACTCTGGAAAGAGTGCAGAAAAGAACAACAAAGAGGATTGGGGGGGCTGAAAGTTAAAACGTATGAAGAATGTTTGCAAGAATTGGGTATGTCTAGTCTAGTGAAAAGAACTAGGGGTGACATGATTGCAGTCTTCTAATATTTGAGGGGCTCCTATAAAGAAGAGGCGGTCAACTTATTTTCCAAAGCACCAGAAGGCAGGACAAGAACCAATGGATGGAAACTAAGCAAGGAGAGAAGCAACCTAGAACTAAGGAGAAACTTCCTGACAGTTAGAACAATCAACCGGTGGAACAACCTGCCTCCAGAAGCGGTGAATGCTCCAACACTGGAGGCTTTTAAGAAGGGACTGGACAATAATTTGTTGAAAATGGTTTAGGGTCTCCTGCTTAAGCAGGGAATTGGATTAGAAGGCCTCTGTTATTCTGTTAACTGCAAACGGGAGTGGGTCAGGAAGATGCCACCATAGGATTAGTGTATTTATATATTAAGAAATATGGTTCAACTACAGTTCTCCAGTCCAGTAAAGAAGCATGTAATGATAATTAGGACATGGTCAGAAAATAGTTGGAAAAACATTGTTCCAGCAACAAATGTTGGGTTTTTAGGCTCTGTTCTCAGCAGGCAATTCTGTTGTTGTTATCCCATCTTTATTTTGTATGTAATGCATACTATCCTAAAGGGGAAGGAGCTACTGAATTCAACCACCTGAACTCTACTGTTGAATGGCTCTTATTGTTAGAAATATCCTAATATTCAACCACAACATTCCAAATGATGCATTTGGGGATGATTTAAAAAAAAAACCCCAGATTGTGGTGCAGGAAACATGCAAATCCAAACCTTTAAAATGCTTGGACAAGGCTGCACACTGGGATTTTGCTAAGTTGACCCCTTCTAAATATGAGAATACTGTATGGCGATGGTGCCACTGAAGATATCAAGGCATTCTTGACTTACTCTGTTTTCCCTTGGAATGAAGATTACTTCTTTTCTTGCTGGTACTGATGCCCACTGCTTTCTGCTCTTCTCACTGCCCCATCAAGATAGGGTGTAAATCAAATAAATCCTTGGAAAAAGAAACCATAGCAGAACATGATTGTAATTTTGCTGTGCATGGAGAATTGGATCTGGAGCTGCTCATTTCCACAGTCGCCCATAGTTATGTATTGTGGCTTCCTGCCCTAAGCAAGACAATCCGTCAAAGATTAAATAGATGGAATGAGGTGCGATAATCAAGGGTTTTGCTCTTGATAGTGTCTTTGTGGAGGCCAGAGCAATTTAGGAAAAACCTTTAAGAGGGAGAATGATCTCTTATTATTTGTCTAGGGCTGCAACTTGTATAATTAGGAGTAGGGGCATTACTGAGTCAAATTTAGGAGGGTTATAATCCAACATTATGGAAGAAGAGTAGATGATTTGCCTATTATTTGTTCACTAACCAGCATCTGGAAATTGCTCTGCTTTTTCTGAATTTGAACATTATCTCAGCTTGGGAAGTCAAGGGTTGCCAATGAACAAGTAAATGTAGAAGTACAGACCAACATGCCATGCATTTGACGTTAGAATCTGTTTTTCACTGGGCCTGAAAAAATAATAATAATAATAATTGGGCACCTGGTTCTTTGAAGGACACAGGCAGCTAAGTGGAAGAGGTGAGTATGAAAAGGAGAATTGTGGCCTGTTCAAAGCAACGGTTGAAATAAACTTTCCAATTATGTTATCTTAGTTAAATAAGTTTTCTTTGATAAACACCCTCAAAGAAGACTTAGAGGATGTTCTGGTTAGAGTTTATGTTTGGGAAAACAGAAAGTTGAAAAGAACCGACTTCCTTTTTGGTTAGAACACTCCTTGAGAATTTTCTCTATGGTCAACATAAATACAGAACCTGGAAAAATTGTTTAAAACGCATGTTGACACTGCTTGATTTTATCAGAGTGATCTTGGCGATTTTGGGAACTGTAGAAATAGGGTGAGAGGCCACAGGTTCCTTATTCGTGGCACAGAACATCCATCCATCAATCAATACACACACACACACACACACACCAAGTGCCAATTTGAAGGGGTGGTTGTCTCTAGGATTAGGAAACTGTGACTTCTAGTCCTCCCTTAGGTATGAAAGCTGTCTGAGTCACTTTGAGCCATCCAGCCTAGCCTGCCTGGCAGGGTTGTTGTTATGGACCAAACAGTGGGAGCATTAAAGATATATGCTATTTTGAATTAGCAAAACATAAAGGCAGGATAAAAACGAAATGAAAATAAACGTATGCCGTTGCCCAGCCACCCAAGAAACTGTGGGCAGCAAACAAAAATAAAAAAGCACTGAAACTAAAAAGAAACTGAGTAGCCTGATAACAGCCCTGATTCAATGAGAATTTCAGAAATTTAAGCGGCTGAATCCAAATGGGGAAAATGTCTGGAGAGATGTATTGGTCTAAGGAGGGATTAAAATCAAACAACATCCTTCCCATATTAAAAATACTTCTATTCTCCATTGATCAAAATGTCTCTTTGGAGAATTACTTGGAGTAATTCCGAATAGACAGGGTTGCTCTTTAAAATATAGGATGGAGTAAAAGAAGCCTGGAATTCCATGTTCTGTGTTTTTCTTTTTCTTCTTCTGAGAAGTAAATTTAATGTTTAATTAAATATTGTGTGATTTGCTGAAATGATTGTTTTGTATTTCAAAAAGAACAGCAATCATACACTATAAAATCAGCATTCTAATATCGTAATGTATATTACTGTATTCAGAAAAATATAAAGGTAAAATTTAAGGGTGGAGTAGTAGAAATTGGATTAAATCCAGGTTGCTGGTAAAGGTGATGGTTATTTCTTTATTATTATTAGCTTTCCTATTTTGAATTTGATTTGTATAGCTTTTTAAAAACATTTTTGCACAAAAATAATAAGAAACCCCCCACACACATTTTGCAAAACCTCACTGGCAACCTGTTCCGAGCTTGCATACAATTCAGAGACCTTAATAGCCTCTAAAGTTGTTGCCAATTAAAACAGTTGAAGAGCGCTTATAAATGAAAGCAAAACCTTTGAAAAGTCCCTTCCAAATACTTGCAAGGTTGGTGATCTGTGGATCTCCATCTCCCACTTTGCATCATCTCCTCATCTGCCAACAAGAGACCATCCCTTCCTCTTCTGAAACAGAAACCAGATCAAAGTTTCTCTATAAGAGCATGTTTGTGGGATAGAATAATAACTTTTATTGTCACTTTAAATGTACGCTAATCGGCATACATTAAAATGAAATTTCGTTGCATTCAGCTCTCAAAGGATCAACCACCACCTCCGATATACACTAATAAATATGATAAAATAAATAAATACAGAATTATGCATATACCCACATATATTATATGACACAGAGGGAAAAAAATGTAGTTTGTTTTTTCTCGCATGGCGAGAAAAACTAATCTTGCGAGTTTACCAGACGGATGGCGTAGGGAACAAAGTTATTACAGAATTGAGTAGTCCTGCTAGAAATATTTCGAAACCTCCTCCCAAAGGGGAGCAACAGAAACAGACCGTAAAGTGGACCTGTGGGTTCTCTAACAATGCTTTGTGCTCTAAGCGCCTATAAGCATCCTGAATAACAGGGAGCGAGCGTCCTATGATCTTCTCGACTGTCCTCACCACTCTCTGTATGGACTTTCTATCTGAGGCACTGCTGCCACCGAACCAGACAGTGATGCAGTTTGTTAAAATGCTTTCAATTGTGCCTCTATAAAAAGTGGTCAGGATAGAAGGAGAAAGATGTACTCTCCTCACCCGACACAGGAAATGCAGACGCTGGTTTGCACGCTTCACTAAGGATGACCAATTCAGATTGTTAAGTTATCTGCACTTATCTGCATGTAAGATAAGATGGGGCATGGAATAATCATTGTTTTTTCAAACCCAGCAACTTTTAAGTTTTGTGGATTCCAACTCTCAAAATTCCCCAACATGCATGGGAATTCTGAGAGTTGAAATCCATACTTCTTAAAATTGCCCAGTTTTTTTTTTAAAAAAATTTTTTGGAATAAATCAAGGCTGTGCAGAAAATGTTCATTGCTACGATCCATTTAATTTTCCTTGCTGCCATCTCTTGCAGTTGAACCACAAAACTTGCCAAGGAAGACCATCCTTTTCTGAAAAAAAAAGGCCTTTGCAATCTCAAGTTTACAGGGATGGAAGGATGCGACCCGGCTGAAATATTTACTAACTTTCAATGCAACTCCACCTTGCTACACCTGAAGTGCTTCATGGTCCTCAACAAATCAGAAAAACCCATTATCGCTGTGCTGTGCCTCAGCATTGGTGGCCTTTGCATCGTAGAGAACTCCTTGGTCCTGTACCTCATCTTTTCTTCTTCAAAGCTTCGGAAGAAACCTTCTTACATCCTTCTCAGCAGCCTGGCCTTAGCAGACACACTGGCGACTATTACGTTTGTGAGCAGCTTTCTTAACTTCCATGTTTTTAATAGGAAAAGTGCTTCCAAGGAGATCTACTTGCTAAAGCTTACTGGAGTCAACACCTCCTTCACAGCTTCCCTTGGCAGCCTGTTCCTGATGGCCTTTGACAGGTACATCTGTCTTCTCCAGCCCAGCCAGTACAAGCAGCTGGTCACCAGAAGAAGAGCTGTGGTGGCTCTGTCGGTGCTGTGGGTTACTGCCCTGTTCCTATCTTCCTTGCCCCTTTTGGGATGGAACTGCTGTAGTCTCCAGTCTACCTGCTCCCAGCTGTTCCCTTTTGTTGCTAACAGCTATCTCTCAAGCTGGATCATCCTGGTTCTGGTTCTCCTGGTTTCCATCATCTATGCATACATGCACGTCCTTTGGAAGGCTCACCAACATACCCTGAACATGAAGAAGCACCATCTGGAAGAAAGCCAACAAAACCCCAAGAGGAGAATTGACATCAAGCTGGCCAAGACTCTGTCGATCGTCCTGATGGTCCTGGTGATATGTTGGTCACCTGGTTTGTTACTCATGGCCTACAGCCTCTTTTCAACAATGGACAAATTTGCCAGGGTAGCCTTTGCCTTTTGCATCACCCTCTGTCTGGTGAACTCAATGGTGAACCCAGCTATCTACGCCCTACGAAGCAAGGAGCTAAGCTCTTCCCTAAGGCGACTCTGCTCTTGTTTGCGGAAGGTGTTGGCCAATTCAGAGACCAACCAGGAAGCAGAAAGCTCTTGAAAGGATGTCCCAGTTGGAAACCGACCCACGTGTTCCTAGGCATCAACATGGGAATTTTCTTCCAGCTGGAACAACCCACAGCACTGAGTCATCCCCAGCTATCCTTGAACTGTAATTCCCAGCTTTGTTCACCACTGGCTTTGGGAATTCCTGATCAGCAATGCAAGATCCCAGCCCTGCTTCTTGTCTAAAGTCTGAAGGGATACCCTTCTTTCTGCTGAAGGATATGTGAGACATATATGCTCAAAAGTTACTAGGGCTAGGATTTGTTTGGGGGGAGGGGCTCCTGAAACCACCGCAAATGTAAAAAGAAAACCTCCCCCCCCTCCATCACAGTGGGGCTCTCCGAGGTCCATCATGGGATTTTGGATTGCACTTCTTGCAGGCAGAAGTTATGCTTTGAGTTCAAACAATCCCAGGTTGCAGGGGGGGGGGGGAAACTCTGGGAGATATCACTAGGTTGCCAAAACAGCACGTAGTAGAACTAATTAATACCTAGTAATAATTTGACTCGTATCCAATTCCTAGAGAGGCAGTTTAAAAAAACAACCCTGAGAACTATCAGCAATAATTAAGTTCAAGAGATTCCCTGCAGCACGATGGCCTTACAATAACTTATGCAGTAAGTCAGGGGTCTTCAAACTTGGCCCTTTTATGACTTGTGGACTTCAACTCCCAGAATACCTCAGCCAGGTTGGACTAGATGACTTCCAAGATCCCTTCCAACTTTATTAATATTATTATTATAAACATGACCCATTTTCCGAGTGCCCCAAGTGTACTCACATAATGTTCTTGCACCAGAAACAGTATAAAATGTCTTTAAAGAAAAATATAGTATAACAAAGTTGGGATGAATTAGAAACAAAAAAACATTTCAAACATTTCAAACTTCCAACTGTCTCTTTTAACATGACTCCAAGAACATTCATTGTAACTTTGAATAGTCACTCAACAAGTGTTGATTAAACGTGGACTACCCGTATAGCTTAGCATGGATGCGTACATCAGCTAATTGTGACTTATTCGATAAATCATAGTTAAATTCACTATGGCGTCAAATGTTCTGTAAAGTCTGCTTCTCTCTCTTTCTCAATAAAGGGGTTTACATCAATATCTTCTGTTCTGCCTTCAGCAAAAGAGAGAGACAGACAGAGACAGAGAGAGACCAAAATTAATGCCATTAAGATACATTTACTTAATTTACATTCAAAGATCAAACAAAAAGACACACTCTACTTTAGAACATGAACATGAAAATCAAGGAACACAAAGAACCTACAAAATAGGTACTATAATATTAAAAATTACAAGGTGTTCCTGATCTGGGATCTCTTGCAGCAACAAGCATAATGCCAGTCAATCACATGGGGAGAACAGCATGCAAAATAACCTGCCTCCAGAAGGTGTGAATGCTCCAACACTGGAAGTTTTTTAAGAAGAGACTGGACAGCCATTTGTCTGAAATGGTATAGGGTTTCCTGCCTGAGCAGGGGGTTGGACTAGATGACCTCCAAGGTCCCTTCCAACTTTATTAATATTATTATTATTATTATAAACATGGCCCAGTTTCTGAGTGCCCCAAGTGTGCTCACGTAGTGTTCTTGCATCAGAAGCAGTATAAAATATCTTAAAAGAAAAATATAGTATAACAAATTTGGGATGAATTAGAAGCAAGAAAACATTTCTTTGACTGACAACTAAAGAACGAAAGAAGAACCAGGGACTCTTTGTACTTAATCAGACAGTTTTTAGACTAAAGATATATTAAAATAATAGCATATGGTCCGTAAATGTTTTTATCAAGGCCACCACACTATTAAAATATCAAAGGCCAGGCATGCTTAGTCAGCAGTGGAAGCAAGAAGACTATGAAGGCCAGCTAGAGTGGCAGGGGCTATGGAGTGCAAGGGACCAAAAGGGCCTAGATGGGTGAAGGGACGGGCAGGTAGGAGGAATTGAAATGCCCCTGTGGTCATAAATGCAGGCTGCCCAGTGCCTGAATTTTGATGGCTTGGCTGCAAGGCAGTGCGACAGCTGTAACTTGGGGACCGGTTTTCTGTCCCTTCATCCAGCATCACCATAACTTCAAATGGTCACAGAACAGATGGCAGTAAGTTGATATAATGGAATGTGTGGACGACCTTGGCAAAAGAGGGGAAGATCCGCTGCCTAGAGAACAATCAGATAAGAGGGAGCTGAGTCCACAGCTGCATAGTGGGTGGATGAAGAGCTTCAGGAGGGACCCTCCCTAAGTCATCGGGCTGTGAAGGTGACAGAGGGAGATTTGTACCTTCTGTACAAATTTAACAGATTCTGCTAATGCCTCTTTACAAGTGAAATAGAATTAGTTCATCTAGTCCAGTGGTGGGGAACCTATGACATGGGTGCCAGAGGCGGCACTCAGAGCCCTCTCTGTGGGCACGCACGCCATCACCCCAGGCCCGCCACCCCCATGGCCCCCTCCTCACCACAGCCCCCCCGGACGCAGCCTGCACGGAGCAGCGCAGCCAAGGACATGCCAGCCGGGCAACAGGGACAAGACTCCGCCCTCGTGCCCCATCGTGTACAGATGCTGCTGCGGGGAATGGACAGAGGGTGTGGCCGCCATGATGCTGCTGGGTCGCCTGGGCGATCTGCTGTGGCGGGCCGTGGAGGTGGTGGGTGACCCTGCGAGCAGAAGGGGCTGGGCGGGGCAGGGGCGAGGCAGTTTTTGGGCACTCGGTCTCTAAAAGGTTTGCTATCACTGATCTAGTCATATGTCCTGCCTGGCTTACCTGAAGAGGGCTGACACCAATCAAGCTAGTCTAAAAGTACAAACTTCCAACTGTCCCTTTTAACATGACTCCAAGAACATTCATTGTAACTTTGAATAGTCACTCAACAAGTGTTGATTAAATGTGGACTACCCGTATAGCTTGGCATGGATGCGTACATCAGCTAACTGCGGCTTATTCGATAAATCATAGTTAAATTCACTATGGCGTCAAATGTTCTGTAAAGTCTGCTTCTCTCTCTTTCTCAATAAAGGGGTTTACATCAATATCTTCTGTTCTGCCTTGAGAGAGAGAGAGAGAGAGAGAGAGAGAGAGAGAGAGAGAGAGAGAGAGAGAGAGAGAGAGAGAGAGAGAGAGAGAGAGAAACCAAAATTTAATTTACCCTAATGCCCTTAAGATACATTTACTTAATTTACATTCAAAGATCAAACAAAAAGACACACTCTACTTTAGAACATGAACATGAAAATCAAGGAACACAGAGAACCTACAAAATAGGTACTATAACATTAAAAATTGCAAGGTGTTCCTGATCTGGGATCTCTTCCAGCAACAAGCATAATGCCAGTCAATCACATGGGGAGAACAGAATGCAAAATAACAACCTGCCTCCAGAAGCTCCAAGTTTTTAAGAAGAGACTGGACAGCCATTTGTCAGAAATGGTATAGGTTTTCTGCCTGAACAGGGGGTTGGACTAGATGACCTCCAAGGTCCCTTCCAACTTTATTATTATTATTATAAATGCAAAACCAGGTAATACATTCCATTCAGAAAATAACTGGGTAGGGTCCAGCACATACCTCCATCTGACTCAGAGACCCCCCCTTAATATATTGCAACTTCACTGCTCGTTTCTTTTCCTGCTCTGCCTTACTACTACCGGTATATGGCCACATGAAAGCCCCCCATAATGTAGTGGTTAAGGGGTTGCTCTTAGTTAAACACACTTCTCAGGGCTGTTATTTATTTATTGGATTTATATGCGCATGAGTCTCCTCCCTCCCTCCCCTTCGCCATTTTTTCCCCTTCATTATTTTTATGTTTGATTGGTTTTCTTGCAATTTCTTCCTCTGGTTGTTGTGAACTGCTCAGAATTGTTGGGATTCAGGCGAGGGGAGCAGCAAACAAGTCAAATAACGCTTAGTACACGTACTCCTCAAGGTACAGCCACAACTGAGCGCAACATTTCGCCGGCTAAGTGAAACATTTGCCAAGCGAGTTTTGCCCCATTTTACGACCTTTCCTGCCACAGTCGTTAAGCGAATCACTGCAGCTGTCAAGTTAGGAACACAGTCGTTAAGTGAACCCGGCTTCCCCCTTGACTTGGCTTGTCAGAAGGTGGCAAAAAGGGGATCGCGTAACCCTGGGACACCCCAACGGTCATAAATGCGAGTCAGCTGCCAAGCGGCTGCATTCTGATCACGTGACCCTGGGGAAAATGCTGCAGAGTGAAAAAAAAGGGTCCTAAGTCAGGGGTCTTCAACCTTGGCCCTTTACGACTTGTGGACTTTAACTCCCAGAATTCCTCAGCCAGCAGGAAAATGCTGCAGAGTGAAAAAAAAAAGGGTCCTAAGTCAGGGGTCTTCAACCTTGGCCCCTTTACGACTTGTGGACTTCAACTCCCAGAATTCCTCAGCCAGCAATCATTCTCACGCCGTCTGGCTGAGGAATTCTGGGAGTTGAAGTCCACAAGTCGTAAAGGGGCCAAGGTTGGGGACATCATAATAATAATAATAATAATAATAATAATAATAATAATAATAATAATAATAATAATAAAAATAANATGGTCCGTAAATGTTTTTATCAAGGCCACCACACTATTAAAATATCAAAGGCCAGGCATGCTTAGTCAGCAGTGGAAGCAAGAAGACTATGAAGGCCAGCTAGAGTGGCAGGGGCTATGGAGTGCAAGGGACCAAAAGGGCCTAGATGGGTGAAGGGACGGGCAGGTAGGAGGAATTGAAATGCCCCTGTGGTCATAAGTGCAGGCTGCCCAGTGCCTGAATTTTGATGGCTTGGCTGCAAGGCAGTGCGACAGCTGTAACTTGGGGACCGGTTTTCTGTCCCTTCATCCAGCATCACCATAACTTCAAATGGTCACAGAACAGATGGCAGAAAGTTGATATAATGGAATGTGTGGACGACCTTGGGAAAAGAGGGGAAGATCTGCTGCCTAGAGAACAATCAGATAAGAGGGAGCTGAGTCCACAGCTGCATAGTGGGTGGATGAAGAGCTTCAGGAGGGACCCTCCCTAAGTCATCGGGCTGTGAAGGTGACAGAGGGAGATTTGTACCTTCTGTACAAATTTAACAGATTCTGCTAATGCCTCTTTACAAGTGAAATAGAATTAGTTCATCTAGTCCAGTGGTGGGGAACCTATGGCATGGGTGCCAGAGGCGGCACTCATAGCCCTCTCTGTGGGCACGCACGCCATCACCCCAGGCCCGCCACCCCCATGGCCCCCTCCTCACCACAGCCCCCCCGGAGAGTCGCCCCGGACGCAGCCTGCACGGAGCAGCGCAGCCAAGGACATGCCAGCCGGGCAACAGGGACAAGACTCCGCTCTCACGCCCCATCGCGTACAGATGATGCTGCGGGGAATGGACACGGGGTGTGGCCGCCATGATGCTGCTGGGTCGCCTGGGCGATCTGCTGTGGCGGGCCGTGGAGGTGGTGGGTGACCCTGCGAGCAGAAGGGGCTGGGCGGGGCAGGGGCGAGGCAGTTTTTGGGCACTCGGTCCCTAAAAGGTTTGCTATCACTGATCTAGTCATATGTCCTGCCTGGCTTACCTGAAGAGGGCTGACACCAATCAAGCTAGTCTAAAAGTACAAACTTCCAACTGTCCCTTTTAACATGACTCCAAGAACATTCATTGTAACTTTGAATAGTCACTCAACAAGTGTTGATTAAATGTGGACTACCCGTATAGCTTGGCATGGATGCGTACATCAGCTAACTGTGGCTTATTCGATAAATCATAGTTAAATTCACTATGGTGTCAAATGTTCTGTAAAGTCTGCTTCTCTCTCTTTCTCAATAAAGGGGTTTACATCAATATCTTCTGTTCTGCCTTGAGAGAGAGAGAGAGAGAGAGAGAGAGAGAGAAACCAAAATTTAATTTACCCTAATGCCCTTAAGATACATTTACTTAATTTACATTCAAAGATCAAACAAAAAGACACACTCTACTTTAGAACATGAACATGAAAATCAAGGAACACAGAGAACCTACAAAATAGGTACTATAACATTAAAAATTACAAGGTGTTCCTGATCTGGGATCTCTTCCAGCAACAAGCATAATGCCAGTCAATCACATGGGGAGAACAGAATGCAAAATAACAACCTGCCTCCAGAAGCTCCAAGTTTTTAAGAAGAGACTGGACAGCCATTTGTCAGAAATGGTATAGGTTTTCTGCCTGAACAGGGGGTTGGACTAGATGACCTCCAAGGTCCCTTCCAACTTTATTATTATTATTATAAATGCAAAACCAGGTAATACATTCCATTCAGAAAATAACTGGGTAGGGTCCAGCACATACCTCCATCTGACTCAGAGACCCCCCCTTAATATATTGCAACTTCACTGCTCGTTTCTTTTCCTGCTCTGCCTTACTACTATCGGTATATGGCCACATGAAAGCCCCCCATAATGTAGTGGTTAAGGGGTTGCTCTTAGTTAAACACACTTCTCAGGGCTGTTATTTATTTATTGGATTTATATGCGCATGAGTCTCCTCCCTCCCTCCCCTTCGCCATTTTTTCCCCTTCATTATTTTTATGTTTGTTTGGTTTTATTGCAATTTCTTCCTCTGGTTGTTGTGAACTGCTCAGAATTGTTGGGATTCAGGTGAGGGGAGCAGCAAACAAGTCAAATAACGCTTAGTACAAGTAATCCTCAAGGTACAACCGCAACTGAGCCCAACATTTCGCCGGCTAAGTGAAACATTTGCCAAGCGAGTTTTGCCCCATTTTACGACCTTTCCTGCCACAGTCGTTAAGCGAATCACTGCAGCTGACAAGTTAGGAACACGGTCGTTAAGTGAACCCGGCTTCCCCCTTGACTTGGCTTGTCAGAAGGTGGCAAAAAGGGGATCGCGTAACCCTGGGACACCCCAACGGTCATAAATGCGAGTCAGCTGCCAAGTGGGTGCATTCTGATCACGTGACCCTGGGGAAAATGCTGCAGAGTGAAAAAAAAGGGTCCTAAGTCAGGGGTCTTCAACCTTGGCCCCTTTACGACTGGTGGACTTGAACTCCCAGAATTCCTCAGCCAGCAGGAAAATGCTGCAGAGTGAAAAAAAAAGGGTCCTAAGTCAGGGGTCTTCAACCATGGCCCCTTTACGACTTGTGGACTTCAACTCCCAGAATTCCTCAGCCAGCAATCATTCTCACGCCGTCTGGCTGAGGAATTCTGGGAGTTGAAGTCCACAAGTCGTAAAGGGGCCAAGGTTGGGGACATCATCATCATCATCATCATAATAATAATAATAATAATAATAATAATAATAATAATAATAAAACCTCTGTCCTAAGTCCCTTTTGTCAGCGCTGTTGTTCATTCTGAACGGCCCCTAAGTAAATCGAGGACTACCTGCAATCATTCTCCTCACGCCGTCGCCACTTAGGCGCAAGTTCGGCCGCAGAGGCGCCTCGGGCCTACCTCACGGGGCCATTGTGGAAAAAAAAAAAAAAAAGAGGCCTAGCCGGGCGCTGCATCACGTGCTCCTCCCTCCCTCCCCGGCGGCGGGTGTGGACGCGATGGCTGCCGGTTGCCTTTGGCTGCTGCTGTTTTTCTCCGCCTTGTGCCGCGGGTCTTTCCCGCCGAGCCCGGCGGGGCCGCGCTACTCCCCTGACTGGGGCAGCCTGGACGCGCGGCCCCTGCCGGGCTGGTTCGACGCGGCCAAGGTGGGGATCTTCGTGCACTGGGGGGTCTTCTCGGTGCCCGCCTGGGGCTCGGAGTGGTTCTGGTGGCACTGGAAGGGCGAGCTCCGTCCCGACTACGAGCGCTTCGTCCGCCGGCGCTTCCCGCCGGACACCTCCTACGCCGACTTCGCCCCGCTCTTCTCCGCCGCCGACTTCCAGCCGGAGGAGTGGGCGCAGCTCTTCCAGGACGCCGGTGCCAGGTCAGCCCCGCCAGCCAGCCACGGGGGGGGCAAGCCGGCGCCTCCCCGAGCCGGATCCCGCCGCCCATCCTTCCCAGCCGCGGGATCCTTGGAGGGGGGGGGATGAGGGGTAGGAGAGGGAATCTCGAGGCCTGCCGCAGAGGATACCGCAAATCGGATTAGTATTAGTATTAATTATTAATTTATTATTAGTAATTGTTAATTATTAATCATCATCGCACGGTCAGCCAGATGTTCAGACTGGATTTGGCATTTTTGTCTACCTATCGAGTCCTTCCCGAGGACCTGGGATAGGCAGATGTGGATCTTTGATGTTATTACAGATATCGTCGCAGGATGGAAGCAGTATTTATTATTATTATTATTAATTATTATTATTATTATTATTTATTATTATTATTATCGCACAGTCAGCCAGATGTTCAGACTGTTATTACAGATATTGTTGCAGGATGGAAGCAGTTCCTAGTAAGGCCGCCTTTTGCAATTGACTAATGGCGAATTTGTCAATGCCAATGGTGTTCAAGTGGTGCTCCAGTTGTTTTGGGATTGTACCCAAGGCGCCTATCACTATTGGTACTATTATTATTATTGTTGTTATTGTTGTTGTTGTTGTTATTATTATTATTATTATTATTATTATTATTATTATTATTATTTTGCCATTTTTGCGAACCCGAATGATAGTTATTTAAGCAGCAAAGATGGACGATTCTGGTTTAAAATAAGAAAAGGCAATGAAGACAATAGTAAGTGGAAGGAGACTCTGTGGCACACTGCAGAGTCTCAGAAGAAAATCTTGAAAGAACAAGAGCAAGATAAGATGGCCTATTTAGATGTGTTCCCAGGCTTGATACAGCCAGCTTACCCAAGAGAGGGAGGGCGAGCACACCAGTCTCAGGGAACCAGCAACAAATTTTATATATAAAGGTGATAGGTAGTAAAAAAAAATGAAAACAAAATTGCAAGGAAATTGTTAAACCAACAGAACATGCAGTGTGAGAAAGCTGTCAGAACCACGAGACAGGGATAAACCAAAATTTCATAAGCTGATTTCAGATTCCTATGAATGCCTGTAAAAAAAAAATGATACAAGACTGTAAAGCATTCCAGTATCTCCCATTAGTGCACCAAGCCAGCTGGCAAAACTAGGATTTTTAAGGTCTTTCTGGAAGGCCAGAAGGATGCAGGCAGATCTTGCCTCCAGCATCAGAATATTCCACAGGGAGGAATAGATATAATACTATATCAATTATTCTGTATGGAATAAGATTTTGCAAAGATCTCTACATCTGATATAACTCAATTGAGTGGAGCAAACCAGGCTAAAAAACCCACAGCATTCCATATTTATGGTATATCCTTAATCATATTCATGTTTTTCATTTGCTTCTTTTCTCACATCCACCTTATAAATACTAAACAGTGGTGAAATGTCAAAAGAGGATGAAGTTCCTTCTAATTCTTTGTCTTTGGTTCCTACAGATATGTGGTGTTTACCTCTAAGCATCATGAAGGCTTCACCAACTGGGGGTCGGAGGCATCCTGGAACTGGAATTCAGTGGATACTGGCCCCCACCGTGACTTGGTTGGTGAACTGGGAGAGGCTGTCCGAAAAAGGTATTGATCTGATTTTAAAGGGGGTAATCAGGATGGTGGGGAAAAAAAAGGCTTACTAATTAGCTAATAACTTTGGATCAATGTTATTTTGTGTTTCTCCCCCTCTCTTGTTTAATCTTAGAAACATATCCTATGGCCTATATCATTCCCTTTTTGAATGGTTTCATCCGTTGTATTTACTGGACAAAAATAATAGCTTCAAGACCCAGTTTTTTGTCTCTAAGAAGACTCTTCCAGAACTCTACGAACTTGTTCTAAGGTAACACCAAAACATTTTGGAATTGTCTAGATTCCTCTGGGTAGAGAAAATTTACAATCATTAGTCCTTCCTCCTTCCCTCTATCACAGCGGTTCTCAACCTATGGGTCGCGACCCCATTTGGGGTTGATCGACCATTTCACGGGGGTCGCCAAGCAAGGCTGTCCACCATTTTTTTCCCCTTTTCCGGCGGGTGCCTTACCTCCCTTGAGCTGGGCCAGCTGGTGGTCGGCCTGCTCCATCTCTGCCGCTTGCCAGCTACGCCTCGGCCGGCGCAGGGGGCGGAACCACACATGCGTGGTGCTCCCGGGCAGGGAAAGTCCTCGACTTACGACCGGTTGGGTAGTCCTCGACTTACGACCGATTTAGTCCTCGACTTACAACCAGTTTAGTCCTCGACTTACGACCGGTTGGGGTCGCGGCATTAAAAAGGTTGAGAACCACTGCTCTATTATCTCTGCTGTAGACATGTTTTCTCAAGGCTATTGCCTTAGCCCTCACCATGTGCTGTGCTTGAGACAGCATTCCACCTTTCCAGCTTTGTGGACTGGCGGGTGGGAGAGAGAGAGAGGGGATGGTTCTGCTCGCGTACCCACCATTTGCACAAATGGAGTGGTGCGCACACTCGTCTGCCACTTCCGTGGCCCGGTTCCGAACAGGCTGTGGGGTTGGGGACCTACCGACAAGGAAGCCAGATTCACTTAACAACCGCGTTAGTAATTTAACAACTGCAGTGATTCACTTAACAACTGCGGCAAGAAAGGTCATAAAATGGGGCAGAATTCACATAACGAATGTCTCGTTTAGCAACATAAATTTTGGGCTCAGTTGTCATAAGTCAGGGGCTACTAGAATGCAGCCGTTAAATCTTTTGATTTTATCACTTGTCTATTAAGATACAAGCCGGATCTTATTTGGTCAGATGGCGACTGGGAAGCTCCGGATACTTATTGGAATTCAACTTCCTTCCTTGCCTGGCTATACAACGATAGCCCAGTTAAGGTATCTGCACTTCCTTCAGCTGTAGGTCTTTAGACCTGGAGGCTGTTCTACTACTTGCTTAAACTAAGAGGGAACCTTTCAAATGGCTTCTAATACTTGGATCCTTTGCACCTGGTTACATCCTAAATGACTTTGCCCTCTTTTTCCTGCGGGGAGAGTAACTTGCTATCGCTGGAGGGTTCATAGGTTGGGCCCCCTCAAGAGGGCAGAAAGGCAGAAAGTTCCTCTCCTACATATTAGAAAGAAATGTGGAGAGAACCTAGCTCCGTGGTGGCGAACCTATGGCACACGTGCCACTGGTGGAACGCAGAGCCCTCTCTGTGGGCACGCGCGCCATCGCCCCAGTCCAAGGCCTTCAGCTGGGTTTTATAAAACCTTTTCGCTTTAGGCCTCCGCCGCCGTGTGCAAAAAAAAAAAAAGGTTCAATCAATCAATCAATTTCAACTTCTCACGGGAAAAAATATCTTGCAAAGTTGGACTTGATTGATTGAACTTTTTAGTCCCACCCAGTCTGCCGTTATCACTGCAGCCACGCCCACCCAATGGGCCACACCCACCCAATGGGCCACGCCTACCCAGCACCCAACAATACATAAGTGGGTTTTGGGTTGCAGTTTGGGCACTCGGTCTCTAAAAGGTTTGCCATCACTGACCTAGCTAGTCTTAGTTCCAACTCTATGTGTAGAAAGTTTAAGGCTGGAGAGGGAGAGTGATGGGAGGTGCCAGCATCAAGAACCAACCTTGGAGTGCAACCTGGAGGGGAGACCACCAACCAGTTGGCCTATTTTGGTACTTTTGCTCTTGATCAACTCATGAGAGTCCTTGAAGCTATATTATAGTAAGGCTTAATACTTAGATAAGAGAGCAGGGGAAATATAAGTTAACCTGTATGATTAACATTTAGCATAATTGTGTCTAAGACAGGTGTACATATCTAAGTTAGCCTGGAGCAATTCTTGGTATCTCTGCAATATAAATTATTTGCAGTATTTATTAATTAGAGCTATGCATTCTATTTAAAATGGGGGCCTTGCCAAGTGAATTGGTACATATTTGTAGCATTAAAGTAGCTACATTCCATGTTTCAAAGGCTTTGTCTGGCTGAGTATACCACATGTACACCCACTTTCACTGGATTTGTTTTGTTCTGGGATGAAGGATGTATTTTATACACATACTTTTACTTTCGTACACATCCTTTTACATTCCCTTCTGCAAGTTGCTACCTCTGCGAAGGGATGGATAGAAAGCTACAAACCATCTGTAATACTTGCCTTCTGATGCAAATTTGAAAACAGAGATTCTGGGCTAGGCATCCTATGGACCTCAGGAAATAGATCGGTGTTTTTCAACCCTGGCAACTATAAGATTGTGGACTTAGATTCCCAAAATTCCTCAGTCAGCATTTCTGTCCACCTGTCTTAAAGTTGCTACGGTTGAGAAAAATTAATATAGATCAGTGATGGCGAACCTTTTAGAGACCGAGTGCCCAAACTGCAACCCAAAACCCACTTATGCATTGTCGGGTGCCGAGTGGGTGTGGCCCATTGGGTGGGCGTGGCCCATTGGGTGGGCGTGGCTGTGGTGGTAACGGCAGACTGGGTGGGACTAAAAAGTTCAATCAATCAATTCCAACTTTGCAAGATCTTTTTTTTTCCCGCGAGAAGTTGAAATTGACTGATTGATTCAACCCTTTTTTTTTTTTGCACACAGCGGAGGCCTAAAGTGAAAAAGTTTTATAAAACCCAGCTGAAGGCCTAGGACTGGGGCGACGACGCGCGTGCCCACAGAGAGGGCTCTGAGTGCCGCCTCTGGCACCCGTGCCATAGGTTCGCCACCACTGATATAGATGAACTAGGATTTTCCGAGTCCCTCACAGGCTGACTGGGGCTGCTGAGAATTGCAACTGATTGACACTTGGAGGATGCTTCCTTCCCATTGGTTGCTTTCCCTTGATTTTGACCGATGCATCCAGGGTTGAAGAGCTCAGGCAGAATAACACTGTGTGATTCAGCCCACTTTGGAGGTGCTGGTAAGGGCCGCCCTAAAGCCCTTGTTTTACTCTTAAAAGACAGTAATGCAACCCACCAACTTCAAAGCTTCCTTCTGGATTTCTCTTTTCCAGGATAATGTGGTGGTGAACGATCGATGGGGCACCAATTGTTCCTGCAAACATGGCGGATTCTACAACTGTCAGGATAAATATGAGCCCGGCGTTCTGCCAGGCCACAAGTGGGAGATGTGCAACTCTATTGACGAAAGGTCATGGGGGTATCGCAGCGACATGCAAATTTCTGAAGTCATAAATGAGTCCACCATTATTTTGGTGAGCCCTGGGAAGGGCAAGCAAAGGTTGAGAATGCCCACTTCAGTGGAACCTACAAAGAGCTGCTGGAGCTATTATTATTATTATGATTATTTATTAAATTTATATACCGCCCTATCTCCCTTACGGGACTCAGGGCGGTGAACAGGCGATAATAAAAACCACGATAAATATACACAAGTTTCTGTTCTAAAATCAAATTAAATAACAGGCCTGCTCTAAAAACACCCCATACAAAACCCCCACTAAAACATAATCAAACTACGCCAGGCCGGCTGCACGGAATAACAGTAGCACTTGGACCCTATACCACCCTATAGTGCTTTACAGCCCTCTCCTGCTACTCTTATTAGAAGTACTTACTTTTGTAATAAAAATAAATAACCGAGAAGCAAAAAAAGCCCCCCAGCAATATCTACTATTGTTTCCCAGAATGCCTCTGGTCCCATACAGAGTGTTCATGGGCCTTCTTAGAAAGAATGAGTGGTGGGTGGCTGCTGCCCAATCTTTAAAAGTGTATCACCCCCTCCCCCCCCCCCATATCCTCAGCCGCTCTCCCCCAAGGACAATCTGGGATGAAAGAGTTGAGGAACGTCAGGGGATGGAAGCAAGCCACCTCATTACTAGTTTCCCAATCAATATTTAAATGCCCTGGCAGAATGCTTTCACGGCAGCGTACCCAATGTTTTCAAAAGTCTGGAGTGCCCGCAGGTTAAAAGCATTTTGGTAAAGTTTGAAAATACATTTTTGTCCTCGTCCTGCTTTTCGCCACAGCAACTGGTGCGCACTGTCAGTTACGGAGGAAATTACCTTCTGAATGTGGGGCCAACCAAAGAAGGATTGATTGCTCCGATTTTTCAAGAGAGGCTCCTGGCTCTCGGGAATTGGCTGAAGGTCAACGGAGAGGCCATATATGAATCCAAGCCGTGGCGGACGCAGAAGGAGAATCGCAGCGAGGAAACCTGGTAAGGGAAAAGTTCGTTGAGAGGGGCTGCTTGTTCCCGGAGAAGGAAGCACGTTGTTTCTAAGGCTTCTGCCAGCAAAAATTTGGCATTACAGGTAGTCCTTGACTTAACAACCATAACCGAGCTCGAGTTTTCTGTTGCTAAGGGAGACAATTGTTAAGCGAGTTTGTTCCACTTTACGACCTTCCTTGCCACAGATGTTAAGCAAATCACTTGCAGCTGTTAACTGAGTAACATGGTTTTTAACGGCTTCCCCATTGACTCGGCTCGTCAGAAAGCTACAAAAGGTGATCATATGAACCTGGGAGACTGCGACCGTCATAAATACATGTCAGTTGCCAAGCGCCCAGATTTTGATCACGTGACCGTGGGGATGCGGCTATAGTTGTAAGTGTGGAAAATGGTGATAAGTCCCTTTTTTTCCCAGTGCTGTTGTAACTTCGAACAGTCACTAAACAAAATGTTACGTCGAGCAAGTCTGCTTAGGAACAAGAGGAGGCATCATCAAATACACAGCTGTAGGTGTCACAAGGTTGAAGGTCTAAGCCAGGGGTCTTCAAACTTGGCCCTTTGATGACTTATGGACTTCAATTCCCAGAATTCCTCACCCAGGCACGCTGGCTGAGGAATTCTGGGAGTTGAAGTCCACAAGTCATCAAAGGGCCAAGTTTGAAGACCTCTGGTCTAAGCAAATTTCTGTAACTTTCGGGCTGGATCTGGAGTAGATCTTCTCCGAGAGACTGATAAGATTATAGGAGTGCTCTACTTTTCAAACTTATGATGGACCTTGGGGGTCCCTCCCCTGCAATCACATGACCACATTTAGCAAGCAGGCCACCCGTTAGGAAGTTTTCGCTGAAAACAGGAGTTGTCTTGTTTTCAGCTTAACAACTGCAGTGATTCATTTAACAACCACTGCAAAAAAAAGATTGTAAAATCTGATCTGTCATGTGGGTGACCTGATTTATAACCATCACAAGTTACAACCGTCATGGGCAGGCTCCATGACGGTCGTAACTCAAGGACTACCTATACACACTTTTACCTTAGAAGTGGACATGTTTTTGCCTCTCTCTGTGTTTTGGTTACACTATGAACATTCAGAAAAATAGCTGAAAGAATAGTCATCAAGCACCTCGGGTAAGGTTTAAATGTGTTTTATTTTTGCTGAAGTATAACACTAAGAATAATAATAAAGTTGGAAGGGACCTTGGAGGTCATCTGGTCCAACCCCCTGCTCAGGCAGGAAACCCTATACCATTTCGGACAAATGGCTGTCCAGTCTCTTCTTAAAAACTTCCAGTGTTGGAGCATTCACCGCTTCTGGAGGCAGGTTGTTCCA